GCCAGATGTTTAGAAATGCCATTTTCCTTTTTTGGTGCACGTTATGAAATGCTCACGTCTAACAATTCACTGGCCAACTTAGTGAGATTAGGTCAGTTCAGGTAAGGTCACAGGACTTGTGGCTGATGCCAATTTGAGTCCAGGTTCTTGCATCGTAAGCGTATCGTTCGCCTACGTATCCTTCGAAAATGAGAAATCCTTTAAGATCCGCTATGTAGGCTCCTGGCTGCCGACTTGGGCAACTTTCCGGATCAGCTGCTACTTCCGCAGCTGATATAGTTTATTGCTGATAATGGGTACCTGCAGAAAAAGAAAGAATAAGGAGTGCCTACAGTCTAGGTATGCCCCTAGCTGAGCGGTTAATGGGATGAAGCGATTATATACCCTAGACAGTTTCCTAGTTACGGGTGGGTTCGGATATACTCGGTAGGGTGCAAATGGAACCTAGAGCGTAGTTATAGTAATGTGTTAAGTGAGAGGTAGTGGACAGCATGGTAGGTGGAAGCATTTCGAGGGGTGATTGTTTAAGCTGATTCAGATCATAGGGTCTGTCGTCCGAGCTGCCCGCGTACTCTTCCATTCATCTGTGACTCCGCGTCTCCTGTGTTCATCTTTCAACTACATACACGTTCAGACACGCTCACGTGAGAAACTCACAGACATCTTACTGTTCATCCAAAAGCTTAAACCCGATGGCTTCCAGATCACCGGAGCATCAGGTCATGTGTTGGTGGTATTCTTCAGGAACCCATCTGGCTATCAAGCCTTCTGAGTCTATCTGCATCACGGTAGCACCTCTGACCCTGTCAGGATTCAAGCGCAGGACGCGTTAGCTGCAGTCCACACAGGGCCCAGCCTAACTCGGTTTAGGATGATGGTGGTGGCTGGGATCTTGCCCCTCTGTTCTTTCATCTATTAGACCGAGCTGCAATCCGTTATTGGTCGAAACAGCTGCGTGCCTTTTTTATTCCATTTGAACCTCAACCCACCGCTTGTTGTTCATTCTTTCTCCTCTTTTTCTCTCCTTCAGGTCCGCAGTGGTCACAGGGTCGTTGCTCAATCGGAGAAGTGAATGCCTCGGTGAGTCGTAATTGGGTTTGTTGTCCCCAACTCCGCTCACTACAGGTCTTCTACTACTCACCTCTCGAGATCCGAGGGAAAGGATCACACACTTTACCGGTTTGTTGTTTGCTTGTGAGGTATAGACGCATCAGCTTCCTGTGCCGTTAGGTCTCATATACTTGCTGGTAAGAAATACACATGGGGCTTCCCGTCCTCACCTGTTTCCTTTGGTCTTAGTATGGTTTTGGCTACTTATGGAGGAAAGTAATTTATGGTGACATGCTTTTTTCACCTGCTGAGGGTCAGCAACCTAGGGTATCCTACGGGGAATTAAGTATATGGTCTCAGGTTGTTAATCATATTCATCGTCGAGAAATTTACCGGACCATGCCTCGTCCAGATGGTGATTAAAAGCCCCAAGACTACGATCAGCAACCACTGGCTGTGGTAACCGGTTCCACGCATTAATCACTCGATGCGAAAAGAACTGGGCTCTAATACTCCTTTTTGCCCTGGGCTTTTCCAGTTTGCATCCGCCACCCCTGGAGTTGGTGTTATGGCATAGATGCAGCAGCGGTGTTTTCGTTACCGAGGCTCCGGTCAACTGCTTGAAGGCCTCTTTGAGGTCACCTCATAGACTCCTTCTTTTGAGAGAGAACAACCTCAGCCTCCTAAGCCTCTCGCTGTATGCAACGCTAATCATGCATTCTGTGACCCTCGTGAACCTTCTTTGTACCGCCTCCAGAACCTTAAGATCTTTCACCATATAAGGCACCCAGGCCTGAACACAGTACTCTAGATGTGGCCTCACTAGGGCTTTGTACAGTGGAACCATCACCTTCTCCTCTCGAGAGGCTACAACCCTCCGGAGTTGCCATATTACCTTTGGCCGCGGCTGCCAGACACTGAGGCATCGGTTTGAAGGTCTGGTCTATGACGATACCCAAGTTTCTAATGTCCTCGTTCCTCGTTAGGGGTAGATGTCTTTCCGTGGTCGCACTTCGCCATTTGTACCGACTGACTAACTGCTGGCGCTTGCTTAGGTTCGGCGGGAGTTCCCATTGAACTGTTCACTCCTGGATCTTGTTCAGATCCTCTTGTAATTGTGGCACATCTGACCAACCTACGATTTTGACATCATCGGCAAACAAGTAGAGCGACGAGTGCAGACCACGGACCACATCATTGATGTATACGAGGAACAGCATGGGACCGAGCACCGAACCTTGGGGGACCCCGCTGAAAGCTTCGGCAGACCCTGATATACCGTCGTCTACTATCACGCGAAAAGTTCTGTTGTGCAGATGGGCTCTCAACCAATCTACTACCCCCTGGAGCAACCTTGAGACACTCACACTTGTGCAGCAGGAAGCGGTGGTTTGCTGAGTCGAACCTTTTCCTGAAATCAAGGTAGCATACCTCGACTCNCCCTCTCCTATCAAGTCGGCTCGTGAACTCATCCAGGTACGACAGCAGGTTGGTTAGGCAGGATTTACTTTTAACGACTCCGTGCTGCTTATAGGCTATTAATCTATTTCTCGTAAGGTTTTCAGCCAGTTTGTTCCTAATAACCCTTTTAAATAACTTTATTACAACCGAATCGCTGGCCGGTAGTTTTCCGGTTGTTCTCTATTGCCCCCTTTGTAAATGGGGACAACAATTGCCGTCATACAATCTGTGGGAAGCTGTGCAGTACGGAGTGACCAATGGAACAGCTCCTCTTAAGGTCCCGCCACGATCGCCGCAATGGGTTCGAGGACGGCGGCATGGATTCCATCCGGCCCTGCGGCCCTGTGCACATTTAGGCTTTGCACGATATCCATTATTTCATCGGGTGTCACATGGAAGCCATTCATTACGGGGACTGAGTTTACCAGCATCCTACTGGGCGGTTTACCGGGGTCTCTCAAGTGGAAACTTTTAAAAAACCCAAGCATTTCCTCAGCTTTCTCGCCGTTGATCAAGGTGTGCTGGCCCCGAGCGTTCTTTATACATCCTACCGCTACTCTGGTAGCTGCATTGGACTGGAAATAGCTATAGTATGCCTTTGGGCAGTCCTTTGCTCTGTTTACAAGTCTTCGTTCAAATTAAAGGCCCCAACCTATCTGAACTATTTTAGCTCTACCAATTTTCCCCTTGTATTGTACCAGGCACCTATGGCTCCTTTTTATTTTAAATCGCCTCCACGCTTGCTTTTTTATTTACTGTGTCTTGATGGCCCAGCTCGTACACCAGATGATGTGATGCAGATTCCCCACTTAGTCGCCCCAGCATCTCCTTGAAGAGCTGCCAAACGTCCTCAATGCTCCTGTACGGCACATTCCATTCCAGTCTTCTAGCCTCCTCGAGCATACACGGTTTATCGATTTTATTATAAGCCCTTGTCAGCTTCGGTGGAGGCACACCTAGCGCATCTGGGATGGTGAAACGCAACACTCCGTGGGCACTCCGACCAAATGGTGCTGTGATTCTCAAGCAGTCGACCTTGCTGGTATGTTTCGTGATCAGAAAGTTCAGAAGCCCAGGGTTATTACCTACCCGCCACCTTTTTGAACTTGTGACATGTTGAACAAGAGCAAAGTCTAATACGAACTTCACTATATCGTCCCCAAATGTGTTGATTGGAGCCATCAGTTCCTCCCACATTGCCTCAGTGGTGTTCAAGTCTCCAACAATTACTGCAGTTCCGTTCTTCTCCGCTACAGTCTTTAGGAATGACAGCAGCTGGCGATCTTCTTCTTCAATTGATGCTGGGCTTCTATAAACACATAATACCCAGTTATTCCTTCCTGGTGCTTTGATGCAACATGAAGTGGCTTGAACGTTTGGCGTCACTAATTGCCCCCCCCAGTAAATTGCCTCTGAGTAGCAGCCTGCACCACATGGAAAGTGAACTGCACAAATTCCGTGCAGAGGTAGCCACCATCAAGGCTGTTAAGGCAAATAGAGCGTCCAGGTGCAACACGTTACTGTTCTTAATAAAAAGGACCCAATTATCAGGGAGTCTAAAACTCGCAAGAAATGGATCGCCGCCGAGTGACGGATATACTTCGACTGGTAGGCTTAGATACAAAAGGTCATATAAAAAGTATACACAGAATAGGTGTTTGGAAGGAGCCAAACCCGAAAGGTGTGACTGCAGCCCGACCGATACCAAAGGAGTTCGAAGAGGCGGGACCAAGGGACATGTTCTTGTCAAAAACTTCCCTTGTGAACCAGCGTACAAACGGGCGATTCAGCATAGCTCAGGACAACCGAAGGCCGCATGGAAAAGTAGAGCATAATGGGTCCAAGGGAAGGGTCAGAAACCAGGGTACGCAGCTCACGGCAAACCCCTACAGAAACCGGGTGGTCATTATAGAAGATATAGTGGAAGAAGAGGAATGGAAGATCTGCTTTCCGAGCAGGTCGGTAAGTGAAGATGAACAAAAAACTGTTCAAAGTCCAAACCACTGCGAAGGACGTCCATGGTAGAACCGACGATTCCGAAAATAGAAGGCGCAGGACAATTACTAAAAATGACCCATCAAAAACGGGTTCACAGCTCGGGCGCTGCGTCCGAAACCATGCCAAGAGTAGGGGGCTTAAAATGCTCAATTCCGGAAACGTTAGTTATGCCATGCACAAATGCGTGCAGCATTCGGAATAAATGGGCAGAGCTAGGGGTCGCATCTGAAGAACACTAAGCTGCAGTGACTGTTGCCTCTGAAACATGGTTACGTGAAAGCGACTACATACCACAGACAAACGGCTTTGAGACACACAGACAGGATCGGGGAGGGTGCACCAGAGGAAAGTTTTCTGGGATGGATACACTCCAGAGCCCTCTTGCAACATGTGAAGAAAAACACCAGATTCAGGACTGGACAAAATCCATCGCTCCTGGATTTGCTGTTTACCAAATACCAAAGGGACGTAGAAGATCCCTCGTTTCACCCACCTATAGGGAGGAGTAATCATCTAGTAGGTCACTTCAGGCCAGGTCAGGTTTCTAGGACGAAAACAGGCTTTCACCTAACGTGCGTCCAGATTCATACACCAGTAGGATTTGGGACTTCCTCTGGTGCTACGATATGAATATTGTTTTCGTGGGTTGGTATGATTCGTTTACCTTATCTAGATTCGGACAGTTACCCCAGCGAGCAACAATACCAGGGGTTTACTTCAGGTGATACTGTTTAGAGTTAAGTCAAAAGGTTTAGAAGGAGGAAAGGTAAGAATAAGGAACTAACGGTACCATTGTGAAGTCGCACTTTCGCACTCATATTAGAGACCGGCAGTTGTAGCACATTCAGCACTGACCAGCAAAGGGAGCGTCGTGTCACTTTTTTGTGCGATGTTTGTTTCTTGTATGCCTTCGTGTGCTGCATGGTGAGTGGTTTGCTTAGATATTTTTGGGTGCATGCTTTATGGTATACGATGTACGAGGGCGTGGTGAGCTTTTTGTGCTCGGTGTGCAGTGGACCCTTTATTATTTTTTATAATCATAATCTCTTTGTTGTTTTTTTTTATTTATTTTATTTTTTATTTCTTTATTTCAAATTCTTTTAAATTCTTTCTTGGCCTCTTGAGACCATCCACGAAGGATATGTTTGGCGAGAACTGTTGTCGTTTACCTCAATTTGCTCATCATATGAACGTCAATTGGAGACCAACAGGAGTACACTGCTATGGCGTCCCACGTTAACGCTGACTCCTTACGGTCTGGGCATGGTGGCCACCTTTTTATCTATAGACCGCTGATCGTTCAAATTGAGTCAAAAGGCTCTTGCGGTTAGGGCATGGTGACCACTCTTTTTAGACCGCGTGATGTTTAGCTGAGGAGGACCATACCGTTCTCTTTTTTGTCCTTGTGGTTACCTTAATGCCTCTATTATGATTTTGGTCTGGGCACGGCAACGAAAAGTGTCCAGTTTGGTATGCCTGTGAGTAACGTTTTAAGCTAAAGTCTGTCCAGTTTGGTATGCCTGTGAGTAACGTTTTAAGCTAAAGTGGCTCTTGGGTGTTCGTGTGTACCAATTGAACGTGCATTTTGCGATTGATCAGAATGCATTGCTGTGCCGTTGCTTCATCTCGTGAGTGAGTCACGCTCCAACCCTCTCCGGTACTACTTTTTGAAGAGCCACAGAATGAAACCATTCCAGTGGAGGATAGGGAGTCTGGCCAAAAATATGCTGGCTTAATTTGCCAAGGAAACAGGAGAAAAAGTTAGGAAGGAAAGTGTCTGGATTTAGTATCACCTCAGAACCCCCTTCATTGTTGCCATCTGGGGTGCAGCCTAGTATAGATCCGGGAACAGATCCAAACACATCCGGTCTAGCTGGTGCTTAAAGGTCACAGTGCTACAGGATATGACCTCCGCCGGTAGCTTATTCCAATGATTCACAATTCGGTTTGT